GAGAGAGAGAGAGAGAGAGAGAGAGAGAGAGAGAAACATCGATGTGAGAGAGACACATCAACTGGTTGCCTCCTGCACGAGCCCTGACCAAGGCCAGGGATGGAGCCTGCAACCCAGGTATGTGCCCTTGGCTGGAATTGAACCTGGGACCCTGAGCCCGCAGGTGGATGCTCTACCCACTGAGCCAAGCCGGCCAGGGCTATATTTCTGTTTTAATATATACATTTTAATGTGTCTCTGCTCCTCATGTCTGGAATACTGCAACTGCCTGTCTGATCTCCTTGCTGGCAGTCTCTGCCATCTTAAATCAGTCATACACATTGATCCAGAGGTTGTGTGTTATTTTTAAAGTTCAGCATCTCTCATATTGCATACTTGTTTAAACCATTAATATCCCTTTGTTATATATAAGAAAAATATAGTTTTGTTCATCTAGAATTCGAGACCTTTCATAATGTGGTCTATCTATCATTCTGAGTTTGTGTGCCCTTACCTTCTTCGCCACTTTCTTGCCCAGGCTAATACATTTCTAATTGGCCTTTTAAAGCACAGATTTTCTCTAACATTCTGTTGTTGTTTTTTTATATGCTTTGTAGTTTAATAGTCCTTTTGTGTGTCTCATTTACCCAACTAAATTGTTAACTCCTGGGTGTAGAGATGGAAACTGTTTTGAGTCCAACATAGTACACATATAGCACTGTGTAAAAAAAAAATTAATGAATGAATTTTTAAAGTTTTAAAGTCAATATATAATTTAAATTCTGTACTTATTTGATTTGTTTATTTCACAAATGTTAGACAAATAAAACTAAATAGATTTTTGTTATGTTTTTTCATCTCTCTAATTATATTTAATTATGAGATCAAATAATTGGTATAACTAACACTAAAATATTTTAAAGAAACAAATAAGTTTTATTAGTATTCTAATCTGAAAGATATAGAAAATCTATACCAAATGAAAGTTAGATACTCATTATTACATAGCTTTTTAAAATTAAAACAATATTTGAAAACTTGTAATAAGTTGTTTTATTTATTGTTGGTAATATGTGGTTTTGATGGGGATAAACTGAATATTTACGGTGTAATACATGTTAAAGAAAGGACTATTTAGTTTTTCTTGGTTGATGTATTAAATATAGTTGAAAATTGTTCAGAATACTGAACAATGACATGAGGAAATACGAAATGTAACTTAAATACTAAGTTTAAACCAATCTACCTAGGCCTAATTTTGTTATCTGAAAGGGGATTGCATTTTTTGTGCTAAAACTGCTCCTTGCTTTGTGCAGAATTTAAAAATGTTCCTACCCTTTTACTTCCCTTTTTTGGTTTTTCTTGTTTTAAAAGTGTGAATATTTATCTCTTTAAAAAATTTTTACAGGTGTTCTATAGCAAATAAATATTTCTACTTTAACGTAGAAATTTTTTAAAACTATGTTCTATGTAAGGCATTTTTGCTTTGAAATATTTGAATTTCAGCAAGATAAAGATGGTTTCATCCTAAGACCAAGAAATTAACATAAATTTTCACACATTTTTGATGCCATATTTATTAATCTGAGAGTGCTTTCGTTGTTGCCTTCCTATAATACAATTTGAATGTACTATTTTAGCTCAGAAATCTTACACCCTCTAAATGCTTAAAGGTTCTCATGCTGTATTTTTTTCTAAATAATATTGAGCATCACCATGATACCTTCTTTTATACCTCACATTTTTCTAAAGATTTCCTAAATTATATAATTTATATAATTTCCTAAATTCTATTACCCTTTAATTTGGTTTTCAAAATATCCAAGTGAAACCATAATATATCTTTCAGAAGAGAGCCACGTATTTGATGTAAATCATGGCATGTGTCTGATGTAATCTTACAAAACAAAAATGTTATATTTTAAAGCCAGTGGCATTTTAGGTTCATATTATTTTTAAAGGGACTGAGCCTTAGAATGAAAGTACAGATTATCCATTTTGACTACACTCATTTAATCATTTCATTTGTAAAATGAGACTTCATCTTACGATCCAAAAGAAAAAAAAACCAACCCTCACTAATGTGCATTTTTGGCTTTGTTAATTCCCTTTGTCATAAAATGGAAGCTAGCCTAAATTTCCTAATAATCGCTTATCACATTCCAATTCATGGCAAAAACAAAAATGAGGCAATTCTGAATTCAGGTGCATGCATTTCATTTATATGGATGCTTTTTTGCCTCCCCTCTCTACCTAAGGAAATCGAGAAACTGACGCTAGAACTGAGGGAAAACAGGCAGCACTTGGAACAGGAGCAGCAGAAGGCAGCCGGGGCCAGAGAGGAGCTCCTGAAGCTGACAGAGCTGCTGGGCGAAACTGAGCACCAACTGCACCTCACCAGGTACCCCCAGTCCCCGGAGGCACCGCACCCCCCATTTCACTCCGCCGATTTTTGCCACAGGCTTGCAGACAGTTGTTAGAGTCGTAGCCTTAGTCATTCGGTTCACACCCAGCGTTCAGGCGTATTAGGGGAAGCGGAGATGCGGTAAGCAAAGCACCCAGACATGTGAGCGAGGCGTGTGGCGGGGAATTACTGATACATCACAAAACCTTTCATCCACGATGCTCAAATATTCAGGCGGCTCTCCGTCAGGATGAGCGGAGTCACATATTTCTCCTACCACCACCTCTCTTGTTAACCCCGTGTCTAATAAAAATGTTGAACTGAAGGGCCTGAGGAGTACATTTAGAAAAATTATCAGAGGCTGTCAGTGGTAAAGGGACAAAATAAAAGACACCCTGAGATGCCAATGGAGATGGAACTGATACAGAATAAGGAACCTGCGTCCCAAGGAGGTGTCAGATTTTGAGATGGAATTGGCACTGTTCACGTTTAAACCATCAGAACCAGGCTCACACCAGCGTGGGCTCACATCGCATTGCTCCTGTCCTGAGGTATTGTGACATGATCGTCGCTGTCACTAAACTTCAGTAAACATATAACTCAGCCCGAAATTACAATAAGGTGTTTCTGGTAGCAGACGTCGTATAATTTGCTACATTGAAAACACACACGTATACACAGAAATTCAGCAGAGAAAAATTTTGAAATAAGATTGTAGGTATTTCACATTGTCCTGTAAGTAGTTTCTTCTCACTTAGTATAATTTTTTAATTTTCAGGTCAAGCCTTTGGGTTTGTTCAGTTTTTGGAGTTTTTCAGCTTTTAGGGAGAGCTTTGTCTAAATTCACATGTCAATTTATGATCGTTGGTTTGGTTCATAATTTAGAAAATCACTGGTCTTCTAATCATAATAATATGTCGAATTTAAACTATGAAACGGGACTGATCCCTTTTACATTAAATATGAGAATGTAATTCTGAGCACGGTATGATAACAGATGGAGCAAAACACCCCTTGAACAGCCTGCATTTGGAGAAAAAAAATATCTTAGAGGTTGGTGAACCTCCGAAGTTTTAGGCTAGTGTTAAGATGCCTCTGGTTGTGTTAAAATCAAACTTTGTTAAGAAACATTTTGCTATGATAATATTCCAAATGGTTTGCCAGCTTCCCTTTTAAACAATGAAAGAAAAAGCGAGGGAAGGAGAGAGAGAGAGGAAAGAAACTGCATCATTTCTACATGTGTGATATCCGGGAAAAAATCCCAATAGATGAAACACTTTTATAAGAAAAAAAATTGCTCAGGACTGCGGAATAATAACTGTTCTTTTAATGCCCACTTAAAGCACTGTCCTCGTGGAACCGAGACTGTAATGTTAACGTAGTTCCTATGGTTATTTAATCACAGCAGCTTCGGAATTGAGTTTCATCATGACAGTTAACAGTTTTTCTTTGCTGTCAGACTTCGATTGAGAACCAACCATTTGTGTGCTGAGCACAGAACTAGGACAGCTTTTAATGCCTCCGCGGGGCTGAGCTTCGGTAAATAAATATTAACGCCTGTTCCTTGAGTTCATTTCTGAAGCCAGAGTCCGTGGAGAGCTCTCCTGCGCAGCATCAATTTGTACAGCCTGACAAGATCGATTTCTTGCAAGGAGAGCATATTAAGATACCACTAGGCCACTTTCGGCAGTTGCTGTAACTAATTCTTTTGTTCTTAAGAAAAACGGTTTTGCTGGCTTCCGTAGAAAGCTTTTTTCTCCCGAGCTTCATTTACACCAGGTTACAAAAATGTAACCCAGTTTTACAGGAAAGAAAACTGAATTACCTGTTTTCCAAGTGCAGTACTCTTTTGTAAGCATTTTATACTTCCCTATTTTATAAAATCCATGAATGGGGAGAGGGCAATAAAAGGCGTAAGGAACTGTGTGTACCTCTCTTTTGTACTGCAAATGTGACTTGGCTGTAGGGTTAAATATTTCTGATATACTTTGGGGATTTTTTTAGAGTTTGCTTTCCCTCAGCAAATTCTTTGTTGATTCAGTATAGTCAAGTGTGTGGCTGGGAAATGCCATGTTTTTGTCTGTGTGTGTTTCAGTATATACCAGCTGAAAGAAAGAAATCTCGTACAGGTAGCTCTTCATTTAGTCTTAACTTAAACATTTTGAATGTCATATCCCAAACAAAGTTTAAAATTGAATATGAAAACCATGTGATAAAGTAATAATGAAATAAGGATACAGATCTTCCAAGGCAAAGAAAACTTTAAAACTGGAGTAGAAATCGGTAGATCAATCTGAGCAGAAAATAATCTATCACTTTTTTGGCATTGCCCTGTATTGTTTAACTAGACTTAAATAAAATAGAAATTCAACTTTTATTGAAAGACCCAACTGGTAAGTATAACATTTGCTTATTCAACAAATATTTATTGAGCATCTACTATCTTTTAAGTAGATTGCTTGGTCCTTGGCATAGAGAAAAAAAGACTCGGGTCTTACCCTTATGTTGCTCACACTCTATTAAGGATATAGATAGATGATAGACAGATAAGTAGGTATAGATTGCCACGGGAGCTCACAGCAAGAATCGGCTCATTCTGCATTTGAAGTGCAGTTAGGTGACAGCCAGGAAAACTTCCTGGAGGAGGAGACGTTTGATCATTATGTTGATTGATGAGTTTATGAATAGGAGTTCTCAAGGGAACAACATATGCAAAGACAAAGATGGGAGAGAGCCTAAACTCTGCAACCAGGTTAGGTGTCTGGCAAGAGATGAGCCTGGAAAGGGGGTCAGGGACCAGAGGAAATGCTTTGTGGGCCATGTTCGGGGGTTTTGGCTATTCTGAGAGTAATGGTTACTCTGATATTTCAAGCAGGGCTTCCAACATGATCAGCTTTTGGAATTGGGATCCTTACTCAGGGAGCAGTGTAGAGAGTGAACTTGGAGAGTTATGGAGGAGACAGAAAGACCAGTTAGGACAGAGTCTGCAACCACAGCCTAAATCTGGCCCATCGTCTGTTTTCGTATGATCCCTGAGCTAAGAATGGCTTTTCTACTTTTAAGTGGGGAGAAAGAAAAAGAATATTTTGTGACATAAGAATTATACACCCATAAATAAAGTTTTACTGGGCACCGCCTCCATTATCTTTTATGTTGTTATGTGTGGCACTACCGTGGCAGAATTGAGTATGGTCCTCAAAGCCTGAAGTATTTACTATTTCCTTTACAGGAAAAGTTTACAAACCCTCAGGATGCTGTTTAAGTCAGGAATTCAAAGGAGCTTGAACTATGATGGGTTCAAATGTGTATTTCAAAAGGCAGTTAAAAGGCACCGTGAAAATAGGTTGGTTGAGGAAGAGATGATTGGCAGGGCCCCGCTTAGAATATAAGCACCATCGTAGTCCTGGGCTGTGATGGTGCCAGTAAAATGGAAAGGAAATAGCACCTTCCAGAGGCACTTGGGGTAGTGAATGAGAGAGGCCAGAATTAAAGGTGACTCCAAAGTTTCTAGCCTGTGTTAACTGGATGGTGCATTAATCCAACTAGGGAAGCACAGAGGAAAATAACACGTTTTATTCTGGAACTCAGGTGGAGATGTCCAGGCCAGGTGTCGTGGGAGCAGAAAGGTCATGACTAGAGGCCTGGCTCGGGATGCCTTCACAGAAAGATACTAGCTGTAGCCAGAAGAGGAGTGAAAGCACCCAGAAACCATACACTTTTCTTAGGGCAGGCCCCCAGGTATCCTAGGACTGAGGACACCGAGTTTCAGTGTCTCCCCCAGGCAGTCACTGTCTTTGCAACTTTTGACAAATTGCTTCATTCTTTGAACCTGCTTCCCTACCTATAAAACGAGGTCCTACTACATGATTTCTAAGTTTCCTTTAGCTCTGATAGTCAATGATTCCAGCAATGATTTAAGACCGTGCATTATTCAGTTCCCGTTTGCAGACGTCAGGCATTTAAATTGCTTGGAGTATCCTTCGTTTAAGATGTTTCCTTAGTTTGATCTTCAGGGAGGTTTCATAGACATGTCTTCATACCCACCATTTACATTCGTCATCATTTAGGTTGACCTCCACGAGGTTATGGAAACAGTCTCTTAACATCCTTCCAGTCTCTCTTGCCAACCACTGCCAAGTGAGTATCCGTCAGCACTGCCCGGACCCTGTCACCTGCTCTCAGAACCTCCCACGGTCCATGCTGACTGTTACAGAAGGTCCAGACCACTCAGCAGTGCGGCTTCCCCGAAGGCCCCCAGCTTCTGGTTTTATTTCCTTGCCATCAATGTCATCTTCTCGCACGCTGACTTCCAGCCAAACTTAAGCAGATGCAGCCCCCTTGAGCTGTGGACTTTCCTCCCCTGTACTGTTCCCTACCCCGAGAATAGCCCTTCAACCTTCTCTAGCCCTGTTGTAATCTTACCTTCTTTTCCAGGGCTCCCTGAGTCCTGACTTTTCCATCGTAGGCCTCCCCATGGCCCTGCCAGAGGGAGCAGGCACGTGGCCCTCTGAGCCCTCCTGCCCATGTAGAGCTGAAGGCACTTACTACATAGTGAATGAATGAATGAATCAATGAATGAGTGAAGGAATGAATGAATATTCTGCAGTTTTTTATGTAGTACCCTTCTGGAATGTCCTATTCTTCAAGGTGGGGAGAGGTCTTATTAGTATTATATTTCTCAGAGCACCCAGCTCAGTGCTTTGCAAAGAGTTGGAGCTCAGCAGGTCATTTTTATAGGAATGGTTAATATATTGTGAGTTTGTGACCATTCAAAGCCTAGTAAAATATTAGTAAGGTATTTATAGTAAAACATTAGTAAGATATTACTAATATCTTACTAAGATATTAGTAAGATAAATTATGAGATCCAGAAGGGAGATTCCAGATAAAGTATTACAGGGATAGAGGGACAGATAACTTCTTACTGACCTTGGTAGCATTGGGATACAGGAAAATGGGAATGAAGGGCATTCCATGAGAAATTCCAGAGGGGAAAA